TTCGTCGCGGAGCAGCGCACCAAACGGCGGCCGCGATTTCTGATAAGTTATTTTTCTGCGAAAAATTCGTTGAACTTTGGAGACATCATTAATAGAAATAATTTTTATGGCCGTTGAATAAGAAATGTTTCTTTCACAAGTAATGTATAAAATTACAGGTATACATTATACATTATAAGGTACTTAATTTACATACTGTACAGACGATAGTAAACTCAACTTACTAGTCTAAACTCTCTGTAGCGTGTAAGTAGTTCGGCTGCTCGTCTACTATTGGTCCAGATTCGACCAATCATGTCGTGACACGAGTCGATGATGACGTTTTACGCGTCCCTTTTAGCGTCTTTATACGAATACCGTCGCAATTTTTTCGCCACGTTATAGGAATCTCCGTTATAGGAACCCGCGTTATAGGGGAGTCTACTGTAATATAATTTTCAGGAAAAGCAGTGAAATAAACAATTCGGCGACTTTTTGTGTAAGTACTTGCGATGAAGTTTCTAAGGAAATCTATCGTGTTTGTATTAGGAAATAAATAGCCTATGTTAGTTTTCTTTATTGTGTATTCAGTGTATTGTATTGAACAAAATGGTTACGCGCCCCGCGCTCGACATTTTCTCGGTTATTAAAACTAGGATACTTTTCTCAAATGAGCTGTCTATAGCATACAAATATGACAGTTTCGTGTGTATTCTCAGAGAGCGGTGTGTGTCGTTTACGATACTTTGTCTTTTTACGGTAATTTTTATATTTTGACGATGCGCGGATAATCCGAAAAACGGATATTCGTGAGTAGTTGTAAGTAATCAATTTAATGTATTAAGAAATTAAATATAAATATTTTTCTTTTGTAGTTGTGGAATGCCATGTTGGATTTCTTCTTTTTCCTTCTGAAAGTGGAGAAAATCAGACGCGGCGAACGCTGTCCAATCGGAGGATTGCTGGATAATTATTAGAAGTGATTATTAGAATAATCTTACAATTTGCGGATATTAAACAGTTTGATTATTAAACTTTGCGGCGCCAATAGCGCAATAGTAGAGAGTTTTGTCGATAAGTTTCTGTAAGAAAATGTCTTTCGCGTAACACTCGAAATGTATTATTTATCAATCTCGATTATAGATAAAACAGTCAATCGAAATTGAACACTACACGACTCGATAGAGCAGCAGCGTGTACGTCGTGCACCTACCAATCCTGCGTATCACCAATATAAAATATATCTACACTTTTAAAGAAATAAATTAACCCAAGATGTTCCTTATTATTTCGGGACAATTTACAGACAAGAGTAACGTCGAACAATTTTGGATAGATACGTTGACACCTCTCGCGGGTCATCTACCTCTCGAGGGATTTTCTACGGCCAATGGCCTTATTTAGGTGTTAGACACGCCAAGTAATCCCGTGAAATAGCCCATCAGCGGAGTCTATCAGTATCGTGATATTTCTATCTATAAACATTTATATTTGTAATTTGTAATTGCGGTAATTTATAATCGAGATACGAATATTAAAAAGTAATAAGATATCGAATAGCCCAGACTGTAAAAACAACAAATACTTATTTAATATCGTGTTAAATAGTATAAGATATTAAGTTAGGTTGAAAATACTCAGGAATTGTGTCTTATGTTTGAAACGAATTGACGCGCTTGGAACGATTAAGAATAGAACAATGCCGGTAGGGCAAATACAGTTCTTTGCGATAGGCGGCCGGATGGCCGAGCGGTCAAGATGGCAGCCTACAGCCCTGGGAGATCCGGGGTCGAATCCGAACGGGTTGAAAAATCCCCAGGAATTTTTCGGGGGTGGTCCATTCGGATATGTCGGGCCCCGTCCTCCATCATCCGGCAGCCCCATTGTGGGCCTGGCCGAACCCATAATGGGCTTGCAAAAAAGAGGCCCTCTTAGTGCCCACAGGGCGGAAAGAGCAAAAAAAAAGTACTTTGCGATAAACGAAGTGGTGTACGCAGTGCTCGGATTGAAGACGAAAGAGCATAGGAGAGATACGATTCACCATCGTGTTTAGGAATGGGAATTAGGGAGGACTTCATTCATTGGTCTTTAAAAAATTAATATTCGTAATTGTAAAAAAGTTAAAAAAAATTGTTAAAAAAGTAATGTTCGTAATGGCGTCAGAAGAATTAGACGTGACTTCTGTAAATGACACTTCGGCGAGTGTCCGCTGCCACCCGGAAAAGCCGACAGTCGCGGTGTGACCTACTTTTTCTGAAATCAACATTAGAGTCAGTGACATTTGATGAGAGGGAAGCTGTGTTTCTGTAAGAAGCCGATTTCCAGGGGCAATCAGTCAATTCTTTAAATGTATTTTTAATAGATTATTTATCTGACGTAATTAATAAATAAACAAGTTTAATATAATTACCTCTAATTACTTCAATATAATTATCAAAGCGAGAATCAGCATTTGGAGGGAATAGATTCTTTATGCCCTCTAAATGCCGATTCTCGCTTAGATAAAAACATATAAGATCTATTAATTTAAATATATCTACGCCGTTACTATCTCGTTATAACTTTCAATATTTATTTTATATTACATATTTACTAATGTTAAATTCTATTCCGCTTCGATTTCCAAATCGCTTCAAATACGAAAGAACCGACGATTTTTCGCGTCTCTTGCCAGCTAAATCTTCAAAGCCATTCTTATGCCTACCGGTGGCCGAGTGAACTCCGTCTCCGCTTGCTAGTGGTGACCAGACCCTAAACACCGGAGTTCGATCGGGGGTTCGCGCCTCACTCGGTCGAGCTGGCAGCGGGAGTTTTTTCCGGGTTTTCCTCCTTGCCAATGACGCCTGAATAGGGGCCAGCTTTTCCTCCAAGTCCTCCCGGAAGGCATTGTGTTTCCCTTTCTCGCGGGGGTCGTCTCTTATAAGACCGGCTTTGGTTACTTAGTGACCTCTCTCCTGTCTTCCTCGGATTGGTCGTCTTCTATAAGACCGACTCTTCCTTACTGTTTCTTCTAGAGTGAAAAGCGAATAGCAATAACACTCCTCTATGGGAATGAAAATGAAATGAAATGAAGCCATTCTTATTCCACGCACTAATTTCATTCAAAAATAGTAGGCGAGCCAACAAAAGAATTTTTGAAATTTTATGCATCTACGGAGCCATTTTATCGCGAAAATGTCGAACAAATTTTTTATTGAAGAGTTTATATTTAACTTAGGCATTGGCCTTTCTCTTTTAATAATGTTTTCTTTTTCGTTATACGATCTCGAGCCAAAACTTTTTAAAAATAAATTTTCAATATCGCAATTACATTCCGAATCGCTAGCCACGATATAAGGGCAAAAATTAAAAATCTAAATATATAAAATTGAACCTGACTGACTGACTGACTGATTCATCATCGCCCAGAGCAAACCGCTAAACCTAAAGAGANAACATTAAGGTTTGTCCTACCCCTACCGTATACATCACTACAATGCATTTATAAACACACCCACCACACACACATCAGGATTAAATTCTATATTTGGTTACGTTAAATAAAGTTCGGGGTGCAAAGAATGATGGGACAGGCCAATCCCGAAATATATTAAAATGTATTGTCAGCTGACTTAGTTGTCTTCAAAATTTCAGTCTTAAATCTGATTTAGAAGTGAATGAAATTTCAGTTGCAAGATTTCAGAATGCGATACAAAGCAAATTCATTCTTACAAAAATTTATATCTTTATAAACATTAAAAAAAACAGTTTAAATAATTAGAATTTTTTCATTTACCTAGAAGTCCAGAAGTCTTTTATTACATGTTTACTGGAAGTTTCAAATTTTTTATCGCTAACACTACTGTTTATGAGTAATTAACTTACCTTCGACTTCAACTTTCAAATCATAAGGATGAGAGAAAATATTAAAGTCAATTAAAGGATCGTCGTGGGGATTATTTGATGCTAACGTCAGCACACCTCGACTTTTCGTTCGAATTACATATGGCGCGCAGATAATTATATCCTTATCTTTAAACTTATCGAAAATACTTTGCAGCTGTAAAATAATGTAATTAATAAATTTTGTTAAGAAGCTATAATTTGCTTTCATTGACATCGGAAGTAAGGATAATACTGATACCTCATCATTGGCATTTGAGAGACCATTATCTATTCCTGAAATATCCCAAAATATCATCAGGTCGGGCCAATCGTATTGTTTGCTATATTTTGTATTAACAAAACCTTCTATTCCTACTCCTCCGATGGTAGCTAATGGTCCTATAAAACAAATTTAAAAATAAATTTAAAATTTGAAATCAAACCAACATTCTATATTTAATTAATTCTCTCATTATAGTTATAAAATACTTCTTATAATCAGTTTAGTAATGTGGATTTTTTGGAATTTACATATGCAATTGTCATAATATTCCTTTATTTATGATAGAGACTAAAATAAATATTATTTCCTTCCAACGAAATATTATTTCGTTGACAATTTTGCAAGATTTTTTAAAAATGATTCTCTAAAGTAGAGCTCTTCTATGCCACGAAATAATCTAGATATGTGCAGCACAATGTCTTCAAGAGGAAGAGAAGCAGAGAGTTAATGGTGAGCTCGAGAATACGATAAATACACGTTGAGTCAAAAGGGACGATGGTTTGCTTATTTTATGTTCGTAGCCGCTGACGTTTGTAGAAAAAGGAATTCTAACAAACGTCAATCTTCTATTTATAATTTCGGAGCAAAGGATTTTAACGCCGATAAAAATTAAAACAAAGACGACTCTAAGCCATATTTTTTTTTTTTTTGTTTTTTGAGCGTTTTGTCTTTGGTGATTCAAATGGTACCTTTATGCAATATCATCAGTCTGTCACTGGTCTTGGCTTTTATTGATTTTTTTATTGATTGTCTTACTGCAGAGTCTATTTCATTTATTTGCTTCTGACAAAAATATTTTTGTGTGTTAAAAACAATATAAATCTACAGATAATGCATGTATTGCAATCGTTCGATTAATTAATGCTTGGCCTAGTAATGTTAAAGAAGTAAACAATGTACGTTTTGTTAATGAGGACTCCATAAAAGAATATCATTTGTTTTGCAAAGCACTTCCAGAACGGACTACCGGTAAGGAAATTTTTCCAGTAACAGATGAATTCTTCAAAACTTATGGCATGAAATGGAGTAATAAATTGTGTTGGTGTTTGCATGGATTGCGCTGCTGTAATGATGGCTAATAAAAATGGATTGTATTATGCGTAAAATGACAAAATCCAACAGTACAAATTACACATTGTTTTATACATTATGAAGCCATAATGGTTTCCAGAACACTTTCCAGAAGAACTATCGCAAACGATGAACTAATGCGTCAACATTGTAAACATAAAACAGGAGCCTTGAATTCACGAATTATTGAGATATTCTGTTAAGAAATTGGGTCGGAATATAAATTCTCATTTCTTTGCAGTGAAATACATTGGCTTTCTTAAGACAAAGTTTCGGCAATATTTTTTGACCTTCGCCATGAGGTAAGTCAGTTTTTATTAAATGAAAACATGGCCGAAGAACATCATCTTCTCAAAGGTAATCACTGTGTAACCAAACTTGCATACGTAGCTGACACCTGAATAAACTTAATTGAAAAGGCAAGGTCGGAATGAAAATTCACTAACATGCTCCAATAAATCAAACGGGTTCAAACAGTGATCTTTCGAAAATAATGTTACTCAAAGGATCGTTAGATATTTAACAAAAATCAATCTGACTACTTATCAAAAACAAGCAGGGCCATATTAGATTTGGCTCGATAACACAGCATTGCTTCGAGAGAAATTTAACCAATATTTTCACAGTTAATACGCAGCAATGTAATTGGATTCGAAATGCTTTTGCAGCTATTTCCGAAATGTTACACGAAAACTTTCTTTTGGTTCTAGAGGTTTCTCTAATTGAGAAATGACGGGATGTAGATATTTAAGTTAGACGAAGTTCCATTCGATGTTTTCTGGATTTCAGTCGCAGAAAAATATTCTGTAGCTAAATGTTTTTCTAGAATTCCCAATGATTCCCAATTGTAGCGTAACCGCAATAGCCTCTATTGCGGTTACGCTACAATTTTCAACTACTTATATAATTATGTTGACAAAGATTTTCTAGCCTTGTTTTTATCAAAAATGATTGACGGTCGACTTAAAAGACATCGACAGTGAACTTCAAGTTCCTTTATGAGGTATTGAAACAAATATAAAACAACTATGTTCAGCAAAAGAAGCTCAACTCTCTAAGTTGAGTTACAGTTACAGTTAAAATTAAATATTGAATACCATAATATGTATATCGTTATTTTTGTAAGCACTTGGTTTATTTTTGGTGTTTCTGCTATTTTTCTATTTTATTAATATTGAATCTTATTTTTTATGTGTTTAGATGATATAAAATATATCTATCAATGTCGCTCACCAACCAACCGGTCAGCGCATTCGGGAAAGACTATACCCAAACAATTCCTCAGAATTCGGATTCGGTTACAATATAGTGGCCATCCAGGCCTCTTTCAGTATTACTATAAAATGTTATATAAGTACTAACTACTGTATATTGTATTGTACTATTTGCTAATTAATTAATGTTGTTAAATATATAGTGATACACTATATTACTATTAATATTAAAGTATTATATAAGCAGTAATTAAATTGCTTTATTTACTAAATAATGTGGTTCGAAATTTCCGTTAACAATATATTATTATAATCAAAAAAATTGGGTACCTGTTCCATTAATTAGAAGCTCGTCGTAATATTCCTTAGTAATGCGATGTTCAGCAAACGTATAAGAATCAGCTAGAAACTGCATACTTAATGTAGAAGCGTGATCAATTAAATTTTGACCCACCGGAATATCTGATACTACAGGAATCTGAAGAATGGAACATTTAAATATATTGGAAATGTTCTTCTATTACATTATTTTACAACAATATAATGATTATAATATTAGTACGCCTTAGCTATAAATGATTACTCTAAGAAGAATGACCTCCAGTATAGTCCAACAGACAACACAAATCTATCTCAAATTACTCAAAATATACTATGTTACGATTCTTGTCTAGTCTTCGTATATATATACAAAAAATATATTAATTAATACGCCTTTGAGTCCCTATTTTATACAATTTATTATGTAAATGTCTACTAGGACATATCGAATTATTAGAACTTATTGTACTAATGTTCCGTTTCTGCAAATTGAAAAAAAACTTATTCAGAAAAAACAATCTTTATTGTTCAACTGGTATTTCACATGACATTTGTATAATAAATTGTACTCAAAATATACCTTAAATATTATATACCATTTATAATAAATGATATATAAAATAAAAGTACTAACTTGTAAACTGTGTAAATTCTCTTTTGGTCCAATTCCCGATAACATAAGAAGTTTGGGTGAATTGAATGTTCCTGCACTCACAATCACTTCTCTTCTGGCGTATGCTTTCATCTGTTTACCTTTATGTTCGAATAAAACTCCATATGCTCTATTGTTATCACCAATTAATATCTAGAATAATTTTATATTATTACAGTATTTTTAATATAACCTATCTTAGACTAATTTAATTTTCTTTCGAAGCATACTTTAGTGACTAAAGCTGAAGTAATCAAACGAAAATTCCTTCTTCCAACGATAGGATCGATAAATGCTCGAACTGCTGTCCATCTTATTCCTCGATTAATATAGCCTTGGGGCTGCATAAAAACTATATAAATTTAAAAAATATAACGCGAGATTTAAATTATTTAATTGAAAAAGTTTGATGTAGAGCAGCATTAAAAATTTGATATTTTAATAACCTACCTGTTTGGGGCTCTGCATTAAAATCTCCATATGGATATCCCGTAGCTTCCGCTGCTTCTATTAACCCATTTGCTAAAGGAGTATGGAAGGGTGGAAATTGAACTACGAGTTCTCCACCAACTGCGTGATAACCTATAAACGGATTTAGTATTTCAATAACTATTTATTAATGAATAGAACAAAGCTAGTAAAAATATTTGAACGACGTTACCGTTGTTAATAATTCCATCATCCCGATTATCTTCCGTCTTCAAAAAGTATGGATAAACACTTTTCCAATCCCAACCAATAGCTCCATTTCGTGCCCAATTATCATAATCGTGTCTGTTCCCACGAGAATAAACACCTGCATTAATCATTGTTGAACCTCCTAAAAGTTTACCGGCCGTTGCTACAAGACGCTATAAATTTATTAAATATATTTAAATTAGAAACAAAATAACAGTAAAAAGACAATTAAATTGCAAAATGTACCCTTTCTTTTAATGCTTGTCCAATTTTAATATTTGGTACCGAAGTGTAATNTAAACTGGTGCGCAGGTGGTGTAATGATATGGGAAATGTTTTCCTGCCACTCATTGGGTCTTTTGATACCAATAAATTTACATCTGAATGCCATACAGTATCGTACTAAATATCATTGCGGACTAAGTGCAATCTTTCATATTGACAATTTATTAGAGGTTGCGGCTGAAGTTTTCAACGCGAAAACGTGTACGTTGGACGTTTGGCACTGCCTCCTGTAAGCCTAGAAGTTTGACAATGGCGTTTGGAACGTCGAGCATGGTTCCATTGACGTTCCAAACGCAATTTTCAAACGTCTAGGCTTACAGGAAGGCGGTGCTGAACGTCCGACGTACACGTTTTCTCGTTGTAAACGTCGGCCGCAACCTCTCTATTCTGTCAGATAGATACCTTCAGCTGTGCACCGGCACCAAAAGCCCGAATCACTATGGAATGGTTTCAGGAACATAACAATGAATTTACTATGGTGCAGCAATCTGAATCTAGATCCTACCGAACATCTTCGAGACTAATTGAAAAATACTTTTCATTGAGTCTTATATTTAGTCAAATTTCCAGGGCTTGTGAGACGTAATCGTGACAACATGATACATCATTCTTGTACACAGTTTCAAGTGTATCGATGAATCCATGCCTAGACGAATTTAGACTGTTTACAAGAAAATAGGAAGCTCAACACGCTATTAAGTAGGTGTACTATTAAAGTGGCATCTCAGCGTATATACATGTAATTGTCATTACTATAGATGAAAAAATGGATTTAGAATAATTTGCATAAATTCAGTAATCATTAAATCAGTTTTAATTGAATACCTAAATTTCTAAAATACTTTATTTAGAATCGATGGACTAACAATAAATAAATTATACTTAAAATTTATATATTAATATTATAACAAATAATCATTTAACTTATTAAACCAGAATATATTTACCTAAGTGTTGGATCTACTACTGCAGTAGGATCATTAGGATGACCCATTTTGCATGTTCCAGCAAAATGACGACCAGAAAAAGGAAAAACCAGAGCCGTGCAAGCCAAGTATTCGTCGCTGAATTGTTCGTAACGTTCACATCCTGGCATAATATAAGGAAGCGGTCTGACTCCAAATTTCTTTAACGGTTCTGAAGAAGCCATTTTTAAGCAATGTTTCATTCCTATAAACATGCATAAAATAATATGTAATCACGCTTTTAATATTTCCCTAAAATAATGCTGCGAATATTGTTTTGGTTTAATATTTAGATCATTGAATGCAGTGGCGTGCCGTGACATTTGACGATAACGAAGCTGTGTTTCTGTAAGAAGCCGACATCCAGGGGCAATCAGTCAATTGAGCGTCAGTGATGGTCTAGGGTCCACTCGTATCGTTTATTCGATAAACTAGTAAAAGCCGTAGACTTTTCTAAATGTATTTTTAATATTACAATTACATTCCAAATCGTTAGCACGATATAAGGGCTACAATTAAAAATAAAATAATAAAAACTTGATGAAATAAAATGTGTGGTGGATGTACCGGTACATACCTGGTACAAAATATTCTTCAATTGTATGAATATACTTTTACAGAAAATTATAATTAAATATAGCTTTGTAAAGAAATGTACATAAAAATATAAAATATTTTTTACTTTTTAAATATTAAACAATGCACTTAGTCAAATAGTTCCCTGCGAGTGACTAATGGATGAAATCGAAGACGGTTGCAGAGCGTGCGTACACGCGGACTGCCAAATCCCCAGGGGTGCCGATACCGGTCAATGTCAAATACCTCTTTTGTCGCATCACTAGTATATCTCAAAGGACGCGATAGGGCTGTTGTAGATTTTAAACGTTTCTCGCCATAGCCGCAAAAATCTAAATACAGTACGTTAAACTTAATAGTCATTTGTTTTCTAACTAATTCGTTTCAGGACCAAGCGTCCTCAGAAATTTCCAAAATTTAAAACTTTTCGGTCATTCTCATTGAACTGGAAAAATTTCTGTCTTTATTACATTCATAATACGAAGAAATCAGTCTCCACTGTACTCGGCTAGAGATGGTTCGGTTAAGCTTTTGTTTAAGTAAAATTTCGGCTCTTTCAGCGGGGTTTTGTTTACGTCCCCAATTCCCTAATCGCTTAATTATTTAACTACTTCTTAAGTAGAAATAAGTCGAAACCGGTTACTTTGTACAGTACTCGAATATTTGTAGTCTCGGGAAAAAAGTGGAAAGACAAATTTTTATGACAACTGATACATAAATAGCAAATTTAAGGAAAATAAATTCTAGAAGTTTTTTTTTTTGTACCTTGTGCGTTTCATTCATTAAATTTAGTTGTAAATGACGCTGCCAAAGTAACAGTTAATTTTTTTAACATTATACAAGAATTGTACACGTTTTTTTCTACATTCCCTTAAAGATGGGATATACGAAATTGTAATATCACTGGTTTAATATTGAAATCCGTGAGTACTGTACTATAAAATCGGAGAGCGGAATAAAAATATCAAATATTTAATAGATTTTTTAAACTTCTGTTAACTATACAGAACTATCGTAAAAACATAGCAGTAAATTCTTATCGGTTGAATTAAGTTATAAATCTACTCGTAATTCGCGTAATCAGGCGAGGACGACCAAATATCTAGCGGACGGGCGGCTAACAGCTCGGAACCGGAAAAGTTAAATATTTGTAGTCGGGCCGGAGCAGTCGGTGAGCTACAGCCAATGAGGGCTTCGAAGCTATAACCGATCAGAGTTTAGATTTATCCAATCTACGTTGAAGGTACGTGATTNTATAATCTTTAATGTTTCAAACGTTTTCGGCCGTCTTTCAGAGGCCCTCTTCAGGAAAGAATGCAAAAACACAAAAAAAAAAAAAAAAAAACAGTTCTATCGTTTGAAAAGCCTTAGCTTTCGAATATAGCTGTGTTCCAATTTTTTAAATGTTCAAATGATGTTCAAAAACAAAGATCGTTACATATTACAACATATAAATAAATTATTTTATTCCAGTTCCACAATCATGGAAGTATTATTTACAATGCCACAAAGCATAACAATAATTTCTGACATCCTTTATACGTTAAAACATCGGGCTAACTTACAATGCCATATATTGTATTATTAATAATTTAGTTATAGCTTTATTTAAAAAATAATTTATTTATATGTTGTAATATGTAATGATCTTTGTTTTTGAACATTGTTTGAATGTTTAAAAAATTGGAACACAGCTATGTTCGAAAGCTAAGGCTTTTCAAATGATAGAACTATTTTTTTGTGTTTTTGCATTCTTTCCTGAAGAGGGCCTCTGAAAGACGGCCGAAAACGTTTGAAACATTAAAGATTATATGCTGGAATTAGCATTTAGGTGTTAGTGTTTTTGATTATTTATATATTGGGATAATTTTTTGTAGAATATTTATGAATAATGTTTTATTTTACCGAATAAATATTTTAAAATTTATTTTATGAACATTATACTCTGATAATATAAAGTATATTCATATTTAACAGTGTAATATACTATCAATATTCTTTACATTGTCCACTTAAATGAGAGTACAATCTTCAGAATAAAAGTACTGACATTTTTGTAGCAAAAATATTTTAAATATATATAAACTTAAGTAGTAACATTTTTTCAGTACAAATTATGTATTCAAATTTTTAATAATTTAAAATTAGATTTAATTGAATAATACATAAATTAATCTTTATAGACTTTTATATTTTAGTTTGTTCAATAACTAATTGTTTTATATTTATATATTTAAAATGAGATGATAAATATTCTGTATTTAGTAAAAAAACTAATGTAACGGATTCATACAAAGCTACGAAAGTTCTCTTGAAAGGAATATACAATGTGCCAATGATGAACAACTTCCAATATATTCCAGGTTTATTTGTTAAATGTAACTACATTGCAAACTGTAAAAATTATAAAGCTATCTTTGGAACTTGTACTGAGTTAAGTTTATCAATTTAATATTAATATTTATTCAGTAAAATGAGAAATCTTTCTGAAAGAAATCAAAACATGAAAATTTTTTAATTATTTTCCTACATTAGTTTAGCTGTTATTTCTTTATAATTTTGTTTACATTTATTGTATGTAAATTATTAAGAACTTTGAATGTTTTTTAAATATTATAGTGAAATAGATACGTGGATTTTACAATTATTTTGCAATAGTATTTTACATATTAATCATATATGATGAGCAGTCAACTAATAACCAAATAATTTTCTTAAATAGTTTGTTTGAAAAATCTGATTGCTAAGCATAAATTACATTACAATACATTTTTTCATTAGGGAGTTTTGTAGTAGTTTCTAGAATAATGCGTAAGAGAGAGTATTCTGTTTCATTAAATAATTTTTTATGCAATACAAATTTTGAGATTATAATGATTTTAATTGTGATATGCTATAATAAATACAGTTGGATTCCCCCAGCCAGAATGCATTGGTATGACCAGCAGATAGCATAAAAAGTATTGATAACTGGTATACGGTATTGGCAGTTGCTCAGTAAAAACATTTCTGTATGTTCAGTCACTATACAAGCATTCTGGCAGTCATTTTTTAGAAAAAGAATATTGATTATAATAATTTGGTTAACTGCATGTCCATACAGTCCATTAACCAATTAATTAGGATCAGTTAAACATTATGTAGCAAGAAAGAATATATTTTTATAAACAGTTACTGAAGGCAGAATCAAAGAATGTAGGTGTAGGAAAGGCCAAAAATTTCATATGTAAACTAACTCATGAACAACCATGACAAGTGTCATTTAAGAAGAAATCTATAGGATTCATTTTTAACATTATCAAACCACCAAATCTAAAGTGTTTCACAATCGTCAATAAAGCAGAATTCACATGATTTAAAAATATTTTAATGGAATTATCCAAGCAATACAAGCATAGTTTTTACTTTTCATTTATTTTTTTTAACCAACTGGCAGGTTCCTTTAAAATTTTCCTATTGGTTTCCTTTACATGTCTCACACACTCTGATTGGCTGAATGTTTATGGATCTATTAGATTTCAAGCACGATTTGAGTGAAAATGCCATAAAATTGATTGTAGAAACTGATCTGTATAATTTTATAGGACTGTCAAGCAACTGCCAAAGTAGAAAATTTGTGATTGTGATATAGAACTACTTCTGCCTGTTCTATGTTGCAAAGGGTAATTGTGAAACAGGCTTAAAAAACACTTCACATTCCTTCAGTGTAATTCATCTGAACAGGTTTGAGATGAAAATATTTCTCAAATTTCAGAAATATTTATTTGCTTTAGAAAATTAACAATATTTAACAGAGAAAAATCAAAAGTTTTTAAATTGTTTTATTTTTAAAGCACATGATGATGATGATGTGCTTGTTTTAAAGCACTTAGTTAAATAGAAAACACATGAAAATAAAATATGACACAAAGACTAGTATGAATTTGATATTTAAAACACAATTAATAGGTAAGTTCAAAAACATTGAAAGAAAATAAATATATTGTTTCAATTTTAAAGTGTATTACTTCTTGAATTCTTTCCTTAAGTAAATGAAACTTGCAGAAGTAAAGTATAAATTTCAGTTTGCCATTTTAATTGATAAAAATATTTCTTAGTATCTTATTTGAACATTAATGTACAGATTTAAATATTTTAAATTACTTTTAAAGAAAGAGATTGTTTTATGATGCATCTTTTTATATATTATTTAAAGATCATACGATACTCTAATATAAATATAAACTAAACTATATTATTAATATTCATATATTAGATGATTTTGCAATTATTATTTATTGAAAAATAAGTAATATGTTAAAATCTTTAGCTTCTATTATATCTTGTATATTCTGCATATTCAATTTATTTTAAATATAATGTCTGAAATTTTCTTATTATTCTTTTAAAATAGTCACTGTTTGAGAGATACTCTTTTTAGTAGTTTCTCCTCTTATGCACAATAATGTTATTTATTTCAAAACTTTTCAATAAAATAAAGATTTGCATTTGGACTATTGAATATGCAGCTTATTTTGTTTATATGAGAAAATAAATTATTTATTAAGCAATTGTTAGGTATTTCTCTACGAAAAACAAATATTTTTAATTAATAAAGTGCCTTTATTAATAAAATAAACATTTTGGAGTTATATTTTAAAAATTATTATTATTATTTTTTAAAAATCTTGTAAAAACCTAATATTTCAGTTAATTCTATTATTATTTAAATAATAAAATGTTAATTCATCAAGGTACTATGACAATGACAGTTGTATCAAGATCACTTCTGTTACTTATTATTATTTGAGAATAGTTTTTTCTAGAGGTATCAATAGCCATCATTAATTCCACTGTAATTTAGTGGAATTAATGACAGCTATTTGTTAATTTATAACAAGAGAAATAGCTTAAAATTACTTTCATAAATTGCAGTTTATAAACTGATTAAAAGTATTTAAAAAAAATTAAATATTAAAGCAAGAGTTGTCATTATTTTAATACAGTAAAACCTTGATTTAATGGACTAATTTGGGTGAGGGAGTATCTCTTAAAGACGATATTAAGTTACATAATAAACTAAATTTTTCTGAATGAGAGTGTTAAAAAAAATTGACAAATTAGTGTTTATCTGTTTTTACTAATGTAGATATATTTGTGTAATGAAAATTAAGTGTGCATGAGAAGTTTAATTTCACAGAAAAGTTTTCTTTGTATAATTTGTATAATAGTTCTGAGACTGTAATAATCTAGTATGTGACTAAATCAAAATAAATAAACAATTTTTGGAAAATACACTTCAGTTGTATTTAAGAGTTGTAACTCTTGGATTTCAAAAAAAATAATCTGTTAATTTAAATAAATATAAAAAGTATTATAAAATTAACAGGGTGTTAATTTTCACATATGACACTTGGACCAGAAATATTATCTGTTAAATCCAAAGTCTGTTGAATTGAGGTTTTACTGTATCTATATTTTTTTCAGTTATTCTTGTTATTTAATTTACAATTAATTTTGCAAATCAGAATATTGAAAAAATTAATTACATAAGTAAGAAAAAGATTTGACATTAAAATTGATAGTTCAATTGCTCACAAGTTATCAATAAATTTATATTATTACATGATTTGAATGTATAATTTATAAGATTTTTTAAATCTGTTTTTATAATATTAATTGATAAGATTTTAAGATGCATTGAAATTAAAAAAACAATTTTAAAATTTTCTGGTAATTATTATGATGATTATTACTAGAATTATTATTATTACCAAAATTTTTTAGGAAATTCTATATCATGCTCCTGCTGTGAAGTTGTATAGTGCTATTGAACATGTACTCATCAAAAAGCATCATTGTGCTGCAATTTTGAAATTGCAGACCTATAAATTCCCATTGTTGTCTCTCCATCTGTAGAAAAATTAACATACCTTTCACAAGTTATATTTCCAAAAAAATTTTACAACTGATGATGATTTTACTATATCATATTTAAATTAGAAACAAAATAACAGTAAAAAGACAATTAAATTGCAAAATGTACCCTTTCTTTTAATGCTTGTCCAATTTTAATATTTGGTACCGAAGTGTAATTCCAATTAAATTTTGCGCCTTTCAGTACGCTCAGGGCTTTTCCTAAAATTTCGTTAATCATAGAAGGTCTGTCTCCAGCTTCTAATAGAAGAACTTTGTTAGAAGGATCTTCAGATAATCTCTTAGCCATAACTGAACCACCGGCACCGGAACCGACTTGAAAACGTAATATTTAGGTAATTTACTTATAATGATGCTAACATATGAGATTTTCGTAATAATTAGCACATTCGAACGATCATTAACGAACGATCACTTACCAATAATGAAATCATATTCATCATCATGAACTCCTTCAACAACTACAGAAATTATGAGCATTAAAAGTATAAGGATCATGTCGTTTGCTTGAAAAGCGAGTGAAATGTAAAGCGTTGAATGATCCGTCTTAATATATAAAGGATTATCTAATCTATTAATAAAGATTGTGGTAAGTAGTGTAATGACATAACATTTTTTAAAGAAAGAAAATCAAATTTTTTATGTTTTGAATGTATTTTTAAGATATAGTTATAATACTTAAGGTTATATTGTTAATTAAATTCATTTAAAAACAAGAAGTTGATTTGAGGAAATTTAGATATGATTAATCTAAGAGTACATCGTTTTGGTTGTAGAGTATCGAACTATTGAAATCAAAACATTAAGGGAATTATCAAAAATATCACATAATATTAATTAAATTTACGAGTAATAAAGCCTGGTATAACAATTATTACGACGGGTACTTTATAATCCCGAGCAAAACCAGGTGTAACAAGCTAGTTTTAATGTAAAATATGATCTTTTTCGATTTTACAGAGATATAACACATTCAAAACTTAATTTAATTAATCAAAACGATTTAATATTAATTTATCTTATAATTATAAACGGTGAATACGATAAAACAATTTGTTTCATCACATTTACAGTTTATAATTATAAAACAAAATAATGTTTTACTAAATTAATTTTTTTTAATGTATGCGATAAAATCCATTTTAAGAATTGCTACAGTGACCATACGTGGAAAGTATGGGCATTATCAGAGTGTCCATAAACTACGTGGAAGTATGTCATCCTAAATAACGAGTCTATAGAATTAATTTAGTTTATTTGTTATGGGTACGCGACACGTGGGCGATCTGCCGAAGAGAATGCATCCCGGAAAGACTTTTATGGGAAGCTGGTTCTTATTTAGATGTTATAAAAGTCCAATTTAAAAACTTTGTGTTTTTAATCAAACTCCACTTTTTTTACACTTTTCTGATCGTTACTTATAACAGAGGGAAAGTAAGCAATCACTCAAAAAATGACCGTCTCAAGATTTTTTATATGTTTGGATTCGGGACGTTGAAACGTCCAGAGTTGCCAAAAATTGGGGAATTTTTTCGGTATGTATGGATGTTAGTGTATACGGGTGGCACGATTTTCTTTATCTTCTTAATTCCAGTGCTTTTTGTCGAAAATTTCTGAATTTTTCTCAGGATGTTTGGGTCTTGGGATTGACCCTATTAAATTTTGGTAATTAAAGGTCGAAAGGTGGGGAGATAGAGAGGGTCATGTGTCTTAATGACGATTTTATTCGTTATTAATATTTGCAATTTTTTTTTATAAAACTAATTTCTACCCTCAAAATTAAGCCTTTTATCATTTTATACTAATTAATAATATGAAAAGTTTGTTAATAAAATATACCACAGGAAATTTTAAACGTTTTTACCGAGAAAGTTGCGAAATTCGTTGCTGGAGTTTATTAAATTCCTTCAGGAATTAAACATAAACAAAAAATGTCGTGGTCGTCAGATCTTAATACAGTAGAGCCTCGAAAACTCGGCCTAATGTGGACCGAAGGGTGGACGAGTTTGTGAAAATGCCGGGTTATCGGGAATGGGGTTAAAAAAGGATAAGTATGCGTGTTTCCTCAGAAAAATATTGTACTGTACTTGTATGTATTGTTTGCTTGAGAATACAACAGAGAATAAACTGCCCAAATACCCTTAAACAAAGGAAAAGTACGTACTTTATGAAGGCATAGAGCCTTTACTACATGAAAATTAAAATTAATGAATACACTGTGTACAATAATTTACCTGATAAGACAGACCTCAGAAAAATACTTTATGAGGCATAAAGCTGTCTATGATGAAAATTAATTATCTAAGGGTATTTTTCCCTGCCAGGGTGTAGCCGAGTTATCCGGAGTGCCGGGTTATCGAGTGCCGAGTTTTCGGGAGTCTACTGTATTTAGTCTCCAGGCGATGCAAGTTTATTTATTTATCTATTTATATTTTATTTTCTGCCTTAAACCATGATGCAAACCTAATTAAGTTGATATCCGTGACGAACATTCAAACTAAACTTCACCAGTAAAATAATCAGAACAAACTATGTCGACCTAATTATTAATTTGTATATCATTAGCATATGTTATATTAATAGATTAGATACTATTAGCCTACTGGTGGTTATGGAGTGTGTTGGTATTCAGAAATTTTAAATAAATCGTTAATTTTCAATTCTTAAGACTTATCATTATAAAACTAAATGAAATTTATTTTCCAATGGATTTGGAACTGAAATGTAGAAAGTTAAAGGCAACGAACTTCAACCATGCAAATTGTTTTGGATATGATCGAAATAAAAAGTGAAAATCTGATATAATGTAAATATAATTTTAGGCCAACAACTAATCTCAGGCTGTCAATTATAGAAAGAAAAAATTATCTAAATGACTAAATAAAATTGAGCCCAAAAAATATGTTTTCGTTTACCACTTCGTTTTTTGTTAACTCCTTTATCAAACAACTGCTTGAAGACGTCGAGAATCTTGTCAACTAGTTTTGTCAGTCTGTTTGATTGACATTTCTTTCATTGTTCTAATAGAAAGCGTTCAACCTTGACAAGCGTTCTTGATATGCCCTATAACCACACTATGCTTCAAATTTTGCAACACGTTCTCGATTGGTTGAGAGCGGGATTGTGGTCCTGTTACTAGACGTGGAAAATCTAGTTCCACTTATGGATCTGGAACTGTTAAAATTGATTCGAGTGTGGAACAGTTGCACTAGATGATTCCTCGAACCATTATGTTCCTTCGGAATTGTGTAGTCTATTCGATTAGACAGTTTCTCGTCAGTTTTATATATTTACACTTCTAAAAAGTGAAATTGTAACACCACGAAGGAATGCACATGACGGAGTGCAAATTGAAGAACCTGTACAGATGACTGAAATGTGCAAATTAAGTTTGCGTAATCTTTGCTTCCAGACCAATTAATTAATTTAGATACAATTTGGATAGTTTGTATATGTTATTAGATAATTATAATATTTTGTTATGATGTATAAATTAAATTAGTAATTTACTTTATAAAACCAAATAATTTTATGCTTTCTTTCGAAAAAGCATAGAAAATACCTCAGAGACTACAGCGAGCCGAATACCACTAGTTGCTGTCTAGGAAATTGTACTGTATTCTGGAACTGCGAGAACTCGGTTCGTCGATGCTTACAGTTGCCACGTGTGTTAGGCACGACGTGACTACCATCCATCGATACGTTACACGATGGACACAGGAACATCTGTAACACGCCAAAAATGGAGTGGATCTCATCGGCGCACGACAAAAATTCATCAAGAATATTTATGTCCTATCATCATGTTGAATTATGTACAGTATAAGGCTATAATCTCGATATAGTATATAATCTTAAATACTAATTAAATACTAATTAACGTAAAGTTTATATTAAAAATTGATTCAATGCAAAGAGCACAGACCGGCAGATTCGCCGAACGGTTTTTGTCCACGGCAAGTGACTTCTGAAGCCTCCTGTCACCTTCAACGGGTGCATCTGTGTTCACCCAAACCATTTGCAACTCGTTGCACGAAGTCGGACTGCACGCACGGCAACCAGCAACGAGGTGCCATTAACCACTCGATACAGAGCTGCACGCCTCATCGTCATTGCAACTGGTATTGTTTACAGATTAATCCTGCTTCTGTCTGTGGAGGAATGACGGCCGTGGAAGGGTGTGGCGGTATTCCTGGGAACACTACGTGCCAGCCCTTTTCGCCGAGCGTCAAAATCAGCCCCACACCAGGCATTGTGGTGTGGGAGGAATCATGTTCAATCAGCTGACAGCCCTGGTCCACATTTCCGGTATTCTGACAGCGGACCAGTACGTCACATGAATTGTGGGATTTGTGGTTCGGCCACTGGTGTGAGCCGCACCTGACAGTATTCTAGCAAGGCAATGACCTACCTCACGTCATACAGCGAACTCTCACCAGCCTAAACGGAATTCATATCATTCTCTGGCCGAAAGCTTCGCCGGATCTCTCTCCCACCGAACATCCTTGGGACCTCGTCCGACATGAAGTGACGGGAACCACCCCCACATACATGACATGCACACCACAGTGGACGCAGCTTGGCAACGAATTCCTTGGGCAACCATCAATCGCCTCATTGATGAGGGCGATTACTGGCAGTTATACAGGCATCTAAAAGGCAATGCATAGAGGCTAATGTAGTTGTCAATAATGGTCATATTCGTTACTGAATAAACAGGTGTCTGTTAAATATCGTTTTTTGTTCTTTTAATCATTTGCATATCTCCATCAACCCTATCAGTCCTGCATGTGGCAACGTGCATTCCTTCGTAGTGTTGAGATTTCACTTGGTCCAAAATGGTTCTTTTGGAATGGTCCTGACCCTGAACTACCAACCTCTATAGCAGGGATGTCCAACCCGCGGCACGCGGACCGCATGCGGCCCAAGGCAAGTCCAAAGCTGCCAATAAACGTGTAAACAAAACCGACAAATTAATTATTATGCCTTTTTGTCCTTTTTTTAACACTATTTATAATTTATTTTGTATACTAGTACATTCTATTTATTAACAGGACTTATTATACTGGAATTATGGATGCNATGCACGCTTCACGCTTAATTACTTTTTAATATTTTTTTTTTGTAGAATTTCGCCGGATGAAAATTTATTTTAATCACAAAAGACAAAAAAAAATCACAAAAGAAAAAAATAATAATTTTTGGACAGACTGTGTCTTTTGTGATTAAAATGCTTTTTAATAGTTTTTTAATGGGAGTTTGATATCATTCATCTTTCTAAAGTTGTAGTGCAATGATTTTCCTTCCATAAAGTTATTTAAAGCTACTTTCTGATGTCAAAAACGACCTCCAATAGTTTTTAAATTTTTTTAATTAATAGATTTTATTATATACAAGTTTAATTAAGTCGGGGGGTCGGAAATCGCAATAAAAATTTTAATTTTTTAAAAATATTTAAAAATATAGGTCTAGTTAGTATTCACCCTACTTTAAACCCTTCTCCTCCCGAGACGTCTATGAGAATGTCTCGGGAAATACGACACCAGCTGTCCTCAAGGTCATCCAGCTGTG